AATATTAACAATAATAAGGACTATAAAATAGATATAGCGTGTGGGGGAGTGTGAACTAGTTGGAAGGGGAGGGTGAAGGAAGAAGATTAAGGTGATGGTATATGGTTGAAGGACTTCAAATACCTAGGTGAATGAAAATACCTCTTGCAATTGCTTTAAGTGAGGTGGGGAGGGGGCTGAGAGGAAGAGACAATGGAGACAATGTAAATAATGTACAATATAAGTTTAATCAGAATTGTCACTAGGAATTCCCCTGGTATAATTAATATTTCATAATAAAAATTTACATCCTAATACACAACAAGCTTCTAAAAGGAAATTTTAAAATGTAGAAAAATTGGACCAGAATAATAGTCAAATATTTTTAAATGACAAACACAAACAGAGCTTAATAAAATAAAATTTTTCTCAACCTCATGTACCATATGAAAAATATAAATTAAAAGAAGGAAATTAAGAAAGTGAATATGGTTGATGTATGTGCTATACAAAAATGAATATAGAATTTTTAAACCAAACGAAACCACCATAAGAAAGGGACCAAGGTAGAAAGAAGAAAAATAGAGGAGATGAACCAAATTGTGCTATAATACATATAAACATGGAAGTGCCACAAGGAAACTCCCTGTGTAGCAATCTTAAAAAACCAAAAATATCATTTATTTCTTCTTTTGTTATACAAAATTGGAGAACAGGAAGGCAGAATAGGTTCTGCCTGGGAGGGTGGAGGTTGGTACCAGTGAGTGGGGGGAGATGGGGAAATGGTGAAGGAGGGTGAATATGGTACAAATACTGTGTAGACATGTATGTAAATGAAAAATGGTACCTGTTGAAACTGTTGCAGGAATAGGGGGAGAGGAGATAAAGGAGAATGGTAGAGAGAGTGAATTCAAGTATGATATATTTGATACGTTGTAAGAATTTTTGTAAATCTCACAATGTACCCCCACTCAGCACAACAATAAAACAATACAACAATCTAGCACTTTTTTCTTTTGATTGAAAACATCAAACTGTATGAACACTGTATGTTAGTGAAGCCGTGGAGAGAGTATAAAGCAAAATAACCCTTAGGGGGATTTGATAATATTTAGTGAATTCCGATATACATTTATTTATTGACCAGAAACTAACATCTTTGTGAAACAATGGAAAAATATATCATACAGCAATTCACATGTTTATGACTATCTGTAATAGCAAAAATAGAGGGAAAATACATTTAATAGAGTTTTCTGTAATAATCTCTAGTATATCCATACACTACAGCTATAAAAGGATAAGAGCTACCACTATAGCATGGTCCTCAGGATATATGAGTAAAAAAATGGGGGAAATATTAATTTTCACATATTCATAGTTTTAAATTACAAACAAGGAAACAAAAGCTATTAATGAAACTAAAATAAATATAAGTAAATGTGTATTTTGTTTATAAATTGACAATATGAAACAAATTATTACTAATAATTTAAAATACAGTAATTGACCTATACATCCCTATGAGATTTAACTTAAAGGCAAAGAGAAAAGCTAAAAAACAAAACTTTTTTTGTCATTTTGTCAGTACTGGAGTTTGAACTCAGGGTCTCACATTTGCTAGGCAGATGCTCTACCACTTCAGCCAGTCCCCAAACACTTTCATTTGTTATTTTTTGGTAGAGTCTCACCCTTTTGGCTGGGACTGGTAGACCAAGATCTTCCTACCTATGACTTCCTGCATAGCTGGGACTAATCCAACTCTGCAGGGATGTACCACCACACCCAGCCCTAAAAATAAAAGTCTTAAACTGTTGTCAGGAATGATAGTGTGGGTGATAGTGTCATCATTGGTACTCTAATACTACTGTATGAGCAATGTGTGGGAGAGAAGAAATTGAAGATTAATATGAATTTGCAATTTTATCTAATCTTTTTTCCCTTTTTTAAATTTTATCATTTTTACATTCACTTACATGGGTATACATTATTTGCCCTCCTCCCTTTCCAGGCAGAACCTGTCCTGCCCTCTTGTTTTTTGACTTTGTTAAGAGAACACATAAGAAATTATAAGAAAAACAATAGTTTTTCTAGTTTGAGATAGATAGCTCTACAGAGAAATTCCTGTATGGAAGTGTTGCCTCCATGCACATGTGTATCACAACCCAAATTGTTCATCTCTACCAGACCTCTTCACTACTTCCTAGTCCCCTTCCCATAGTGGACTTTGCAGTTTAAGATTACTACAGACATAAAATAAAGCAGAAATATTATTGGAGATGGGTCACACGCTAAGGGGAGACCACCCACAGGAGGAATAGGGAAAGGGAAGGAAACCTAAAACTTGAATGTAGTTGATATGCTGAATATATAAAAGTGAATATAGTAATCTTATCTAAACTTTTTAATAGCCACTGTTCTCAACATGAGGGAAAGAAGACCCAAATGCATGAAATACAGAAAGGGCTATGAAAAATCCCATAGTACTAAATTCAAATTGTGTTTTAGCATACACTTTTCAGTAATTTTAATCCTTTTTAAGAAAAACATATTTGTTTAGTGATTTGTCAATTAAAAATAAGAAGGAAGCAACCAAATTGAAAGTGTAATGTCCAGCCAGGCCCAGTATTTTACGCTATAATCCCAGCTACTTAGGAAGCAGAAACTTGGCCAATCAGGATTAAAGGCCAATTTGGGGGTAGAGAAGGTAACAAGACTCCATCTCAACAAATAAAGTTGTGCATGATGACATGCACCTGTCATCTCAACTATCCCAGGTCTATCCAGCTTGCCTGGGCAAAAGCAGAAGACCCTATCTCAAAAATATGCAAGGCAAAAAGTGTTGGGTTATGGTTCAAGCCATTAAGCACCTGCTTTGATGCTCAAAGCCCTGAGTTCAAACTGCAGTACCTCAGAGAAAAGGTGTAATGTCCAAAAATTTGTGAAGAGAACCTGAATCTATCCTCCCTGGCAGAAGCACTGAAACACTCCAGTGAAGCAGGGATGTCAATTTAGATTTTCCTCATTATATTTATGTAAATCACTGTTATCTAAACCAAATAAAAATTATTTCCATTTATTCATAATGACACCAACAAAAAATACTAGAGAACCAACTCAGAATAATGAATAGAGACCAGAGTATGCTTTCACCTGGGCTTTTCTGTAAGGACCAGTGATCATGAACAAGCAAAGAGTAAATGCGACATTTACGCTATACTGTTTTGTAGCACATAATGAGCTAATGGATTCAGCCACCAACCACCAATGACTGCAAAGATTTTTTCAACTGATTGAATGTATACCTTTGTTGGAAGTATAAAATTTATTTTCTGGTGTAATCTTGAAAATAAAAAAAAATACCTACACCTGAACCTGAATTAGCCCTCTAAATCTAAATAGCATTACCGGAAATCAATAGGACAAGGATGTATGAGAATGTAATCAAGTGAGTGTCTACTGCAAATTTGCCCTCAAATCTTTTGAGGTCAAAACAAATAGATTGAAATATTTGTGATATAAGTACAACCAGTCAGAAGCAGGATCCTAATTTTAGCCTCAATACTCATAATTCCCAGTGTTATCATATCTTTCTCTATTCTTTCTTTAAATATTACTTTCTGAACTTCTATGTCACATTATCAAAGAGGATATACACTAGTATAGAAACACACTGGTATTTCCATGTCTTCTGAGGCTTTTAACATTCCACTTTTATTTCCTGAAATATTTCCCTTCAGCTATCATAAAATAAAGAAACATACAAATAAAATTGATTAATGTGAACTCTGCTGGTATGTGACAGAAAAGCAAAAATTTATAACAGAAATGTGGTAATCTAAGATATGAAGCAACAGCTGTCAGGACTTAGCAGACCATATCTTCAGAATACTTTATCCAGTACAGCATTGGAATGGGTGGGAATTGACCAAGGAGGTTAAGATGAACAGAAGAGGTTTCCTATATATGTCTGGATATCTTTACAGATGAATGGATCTGTAGAATGAATGGTGACATGAAGAGCAAGAGTGCTAGGGAGTAAAATGAGGCTTTTTCCACAAAGTTTAATCATCAAGAAGGAGGATATTCAAATGGAAAACTCACTGTGCTGCAATAAACATAGCACAGATACCAGAATCTAAGGCAAGTAGTTACTTTTCCAATTGTGCATCAGAGCAAAATGAAAAATGAATAGTGCATGTCCTTTAAGTTCAAAAATAAAAATGTCTATATACTGTGCATATATGTCTGTACATACCCATTTCTATCAAGTCATAGAAGATATCAAGTGTTAATATTCTGATGGAATTATAAGATAAACCAATAAGTAAGTGAATATGTTCCTTATTTGTTAAATAAAATAATTATATACTTATAGTAAATGCACATAATATGCAGAATATTTTCATTTTATCTTCAAGATAAGTCTAAAACATTGTTATTAAAAATAAATTTAATTAAAATTAAATAATCGTTTTAAATATTTTATTCACTGAGAAAATCATTAACTTGTTTCTTATATATAAAAAAGAATAATGAGTTGTTGCCTTAGTCTTGTAATTTTCATTTTTACCATTTAATGGAATTAAAATCGTCTATTTGTGTTTTCAGGTTGTAGTCCTGTCTAATGTATGAAACATGGAAGAAGGAAAAAAACTGCACATTTCATATGGCAGTTTCAACAAAAAAGGTAATTAATGTCCAATTAATGCATTAATTGGACACAAAATAATAATTAGTGATTTCATTCACCATCTCTCTGTGCTGTGACTTAGTATAAGAAGATTTCTTAACATCTGTTCATTGTAAGAGAATTTGCAAATAGCTAGACTCACAAATATTTATTAAAACAATGTGAAGAAGATAGCTCAAATAAAATTGCCAGAGGTTGTAGAGATATTTTAGAATTTTATCAATGAGGATGATATTGATTATAATGAATCATATCTTTAATGTTCTTTAATTCTCTTCTTCTCTAAGTAGCTGTAAAAGAGGAGGAGGAGAGGAGATGAGATAGAGTAATGAACCACACAATGATCACAGAGTTTGTCCTCCTAGGCCTTTCTGATGATCCCGACCTTCAGATTGTGATTTTTCTATTTTTATTTGTCACATATATGTTAAGTTATCACTGGAAACCTGACTATCATCACTCTGACCTTGGTGGATTCCCATCTACAGACGCCTATGTATTTCTTCCTCCGAAATTTCTCTTTCTTAGAAATCTCATTTACAACTGTGTGCATCCCCAGGTTTCTGGGGGCTATTATCACCAGGGATAAGACAATTTCCTATAACATTTGTGCAGCCCAACTCTTTTTCTTTATCTTCATGGGAGTGACTGAATTTTACTTTCTAACTGCCATGTCCTATGACCGCTATGTTGCCATCTGCAAGCCTCATGAGCAGGAAACTCTGCACTCTGCTTGTGCTGTGTGCCTGGTTGGGTGGATTTCTGACCATATTCCCACCCCTGATGCTTCTGCTACAGCTGGATTACTGTGCTTCCAATGTCATAGATCACTTTGCATGTGACTATTTTCCCCTCTTGCAACTGTCTTGCTCAGATACATGGTTCCTAGAAGTAATTGGTTTTTACTTTGCTCTGGTTACTCTGATGTTCATTTTTGCATTAGTGATTTTATCTTACATATATATTATCAGGACAATTTTGAGAATTCCATCTGCCAATCAGAGAAAAAAAGCTTTCTCCACCTGTTCCTCTCACATGATTGTCATCTCCCTCTCTTATGGAAGCTGCATATTCATGTATGCTAACCCCTCTGCAAAAGAAAAGGCATCATTGACCAAAGGGGTAGCTATTCTCAACACCTCTGTGGCCCCCATGCTGAACCCTTTTATTTATACCTTGAGGAACCAGCAAGTGAAACAAGCCTTCAAAGATGTGATCCACAGAGTAGTATTTTCTGCAAATAAATGAAGTAAAATTTTTGTGAAAAATAAGAGCCAGTGTAAAAAGGAGTTAAGCAAACTCTTAAAATTTCTAAATATCTGTATTAAGTATCCTTGCTCTCTTACAGTTTCTTTATGTCAGAATATAATTTTGTATTTTTCTGGTCCATTTCTTCTTTTTTCATTCTCAAGTAGATCCAACACATTATTTACTGAATTATTTAGAAAATGTATTTCCCCTACATAATTTTCTTGAAATGATATGAATTTATTTAAGACATGCTCTATGATGTGATATATTTAGGTAATTGCACTTCAAATGTAAAGCTTCAAACTTTGTGTAATTTCTTTTAAATTTTCAGTTGTAATATTGACAATTTCTTACCATTTTTAGACTATGCATGTTCTGTATCTTTGTTTATTAAATTCAGTACCACAGGTAATATGTTCTATTGTGTTTCATCTTAAATGGAGAGCTTTGTGAATTTTAAGGTGTATCTCTTATTTTCTCAATAAATCATGTGAGTTCCTCATTCAAAGTACAAAAATAAATTTAGGATGCATTGTAATTATTTTAGTCATATTGGCAGCAATTCAATAATTGACCTTTTGGCTTGAAATGTCATTTACTGATTCATGGTTATATTCAAGGAGAATTTCAACTTCATTCAATAATCAGTCTTTTGACTTAAAGTATCACTTACTGATTAATAGTTGTATTGCAAGACAATTTCAACTTCAAATGTTTATTAGTCTTTTATTTCTCCCAATTAATGTTGATTGGAAAGCTTTAAGTCTAACACATTTTATTTCTAAATTTATAACATAATGTAACTTTCAAACTGAAATACAAAAATGTTAATACAAATATGTTTTGTAGAGATTTTATTTCTCTACAATTTCTCTAAAATTTCCAAAAAGTTTAATCTTTGTACCTCAACTATCTTCAGAGATCTGGACATAAAACATCCTAATCCAAGAAAATACATCTGTTTGAGGAATTTAATCTTAATGAATATGTGTGATGCTTAAGATTAACATGTGACTTTAATTTAGATATTTTCAAGTATCATATACATATTACTTTCATTTGTAATTCAAAAATGTGTCTGATGAAGAAATGACAGTGTTGGAAAGGATTTGTTCTTGTCTTCATGCACCTCTAAATAAGAGAGAAAAAAATTTAAGAATAATTGATCATAGTATAATTTTATGTGTTATTATCTGTAGATATTGCACATTTTCATCAATATATTGAGATCTGAATGGTAATAGGATTGCTTACATCATTAATTATTTATAAAATTATACCAAAAAGGAAGATTGTTACTTTTCTTATACCAATCTATCAGCCATGAGAGAGATAACAGGTTAAAAAATATAGTATCACGAAGTCTCAGAGGGTAACTACAACTTCCTTTTCTAAAAAAAATGTTTTTATTAGTATATGATAGTTATACAAGGTGTTTCATTGTGACCTGTATACATATATTGCATACATATAAACCCCAGTTTAGTTTATCCCCCCCCATTAATCTTCCTCTTCTCCCAATCCCCTTCTTGAAATGACTTCAACTGGTTTCAATGTTCCATATTCACAATATAGAAAATACCTCAACCATATTCACCCTCCTTAACCCTCTCATTTACCCTCCTTCCCTCACGAACATGACCTACATTACATTCCTATTCTTCATTGTTTTAGTGTCTTTTCATTATTCAATGGGGGTTTTGCCTTAGTATTTTACCTGTAACTGTATTGCACTTCAGTCAGTCAAATCCTATCACTCTTCCTTTCCCTTTCTTCCTATCTTGTATTGTTCAACAATTTTCAGTGTGTTTCATTGTGTTTTGTTCCTACACAGATATGATATATTTCAATTTACTCACTCCCTATCATTCTTTTCTTCTTTTTCCCCTCCCTTAGTCTCTTCATCTCTTCTAATAGTTCCAGTTTGGAAAAAATATATATATATGATAATGTTTATATTTGTATGTTGGATCTATCTTCCACATGTGAGAGAAAACATGTGACTGAAGTCTTTCTAGCTTATTTCACTTAACATGGTGGTCTCCAGTTCCATTCATTTATCTGTAAATGACAAAATTTCATTTCTTTATGGTTGATAATATTCCATTGTATATGTATGACAAATGTGACAGGGCATTCATCAGTTACAAGACTCTGGGTTGTTTCCATAGCTTGGCTATTATAATAATGCTGCAAAAATCATAGGTGTACAAGTGTCTTTATTGTATCCTGACTTACCTTCCTTCAGATATATGCTTAGGGGTGGTATTTCTGGATCAAATGGTAGTTCTAGCTTTAGTTTTTGAGATGCTTCCATCCTGATTTCCATAATGATTGTACTAATTATAACTAATTATAAATTAGTTATTAGTTACTTTTTCCCTTACATCCTTGCCAACACTTGTTTGTACTCCCACCCAGCACAACAATAAAGGAAAAAAGAAAAACAAAAGAAAGAATAAAAAGACAGTGGAGCACAAAATTGGCAAAAATTTTAAAAATGTAAAAATGTCACATGTATTACTAAGCAATATCCTTAATTACCTCTCTGCACAATCTTATGTCATATGTAGCAAAAATTGACTTAGCAATGCTGTCATACAAATAATGGACTGGTTTTTTGCTTTTAACCTGAACTGAGATGTCAAAACAAAGATATCATACTGATCATAATTCTGAAAACCTGTTCCATAAGTATAATATTTGGTCTATATGACTCTAGCAAAAAGAAAGAAAATATTCATTATCTTTATATATAAATGTTAATACTCAATTTTATGGGTTTATGTTCAGATTATGAGCAATATGACATGTTTCCCTTTGGCTAAATATGTGGAGGACTATTTAATTTTTGAGTTCTGAGACTTAATCTTCAACTTACTCTCCATAAGTTTTAGGAAAATTAGAAACATTAGCTTTCTGAGATTAATAGTAAAATTTTAATATGATTTTCTTATTTTGATTAATTCCTGGGAAATCAAAATCAAAACCATAGTGATATATCACCTCACTCCAGTAAGAATGGCTACTTTGAAAAAGACTAAAGATAACAAGTGCTGGTCAGGCTCTGGAAGGAAGGGAACCTTGCACACGATTACAGGAATAAAATTAGTATAGCCATTATGAAAAACAGTATGCAGCTTTCTCAAAAAATTAAAAATAGAACTTCCAAATGATTCAGCAATCCTATTAGAAGGAATAAAACCAGTATGCTGAAGAGACATTCACACTCCCATGTTTATTGCAATACTATTCATAAAAGCCAAGAAATTGAAATAATCTTAGTGCCAACTGACAAATGAATAAAGATAAATGTGGTTTATATACACAATGGAATATTATCCAGCCACAGAAAAGAATGACATCTCACCATTTGCAACAACATGGTTGGAACTGGAGAGGATTTTGTTAAGTGAAATAACCCAGACATAGAAAGACCAGTACAGTGTGATCTCATTCATATGTGGAATCTAAAAATGTTGACTTCATAGAAATTGAGAGTAGAATGGTGGTTGCCAGAGTGAGGCTGAGGAGAAAAGGAAGGAAAATATTGATCAGTGGGTACTAAGTCACAGTTAGATAATAGCAGTAAGTTCTGTGTGCTCTTGCACAGCAGAGTGACTGTAGACAGAAGCAATGTGCTGTATATTGCAAAAAATCAGAAGAAAAGTTTGTGAATGTTTTCACCTTAAAGGAATGATAACTGTTTAATGAGAAATGCTTAGCCTGATTTAAACATTACATATGTATATACATATCAAAATATCACATGGGATGTTTTGATTATTATTACAATGTACTATTTGTTTTTATGTTTATGTTAAAAATAAATTTAATTTTAAAATTAAACTGCATGGAAAGTATATCCTTAATCTGGGAAAGTTTATGTCTCCTCTGTTTCTGAACGACATCTTTCCTGGATACAGTATTCTTGGTTAGTGGGGTTTTTTTCTTTAGTGCTTTCAGTATATACCCCTAGTCTTTCCAGCTTATAAGAGATCCACTAAGAAGTTTGCTGCTAGGTGTGTTGAAATTCCATTCCATGTCATTTACATTCTTGCTGCTTTCAGGATCCTCTCTTTGTCTTTCATGTTTAATAGTTTGATTGCAATATGTCCAGAGGTAATCTTTTGAATTGAACTTGATTGGAGATTTTTGTCCTTCCTATCACTGCATATTTATATCTTTCTTCATGTTTGTAAAGTTTTGTTATCATTTCTTTAAATAAGCCTTCTACCAATTTCTCTTTCTCTACTCCTTCTTTTGATGCTGTCTTATACTTTCTGTGAGCTGTTTTCATTTATTTTTCTTTTTTCTTCACTGATTATGTATTTTCAAAGAATTAATCTACATTCTCACAGGTTTTTTTTTTTTTTGGTGGTTGTAAGGTTTGAACTCAGGGCTTTGTACTTGCGACACAGGCACTCTACCACTGGAGCCTCACCTCAAGCTCCCAGATTATTTCTCTATCAGTTCTGCTACAGATCAATTCTGCTATAGATGCTATTTTGTTTTGTATTTTGTCTATTGTTCTTTTCAAGATTTATTTGATTTTTCATTATTTCAATCTCTGTTTAATTTCTGATACTTGTCTGAGTTGTTCTTTGTATTCTTGAAATTCACTGAGCTTCCTTAAAATAGCTATTTCAAGTTCTTTTCAAGTTATCCATATATCTCCATGTCTAGAACCAGTCATTGGTACTCTATTTTTATCCATTTGGTGTCATAATATTTCCCTGTCTGTTCTTAATTCTTGTGGTCATACATTAACATCTTCTTGTTCAATTAGATATTTCTTCCAGCCTTTGTCTATCTTTGGCTGAGAACATCTTACAAACAATAAGCCTGTCTAGAGACTCTGCGTAGACCTCTTGGTGAGATCTATATTCCCATAAATATTGTAGCCATTGCATTGCTATTGGGCAACCTAAGCCTAGCATTATTATAGCTGGAACAGCATATGCTGGAATCCAGTGCACCCAAGGCTGCCTAAGCAC